TATATATATATATATATATATATACATATAAATATTTTGGCAGATTAAGAAACACATCTTGTCTTTGATAAATTTGTTCAATTTATCAATTTGGATAATTTTCTAATCTCTAGTATGAAAAAGGAATGACAGCCATTACCTTTTTGTCCTTTTGAGCAAAAGCTTTTTGGCAACCAAAGCAGATAGTATAATCACTATCAGGTGCAATTTCTTTAAAAGGATCAACAGGAAATAGATAGTGATACGATCGGGCTAAATGTGGAGCGGATACTAGAGTAAGACCGCAAGCTCTACATTCCACAGGTAACTCACAATGTTTACTGAGGCACTGGGGACAAAGGTAGCCGGTAGTCATAAATTTAACCGTTTCATCAGAATTGTGTGCGTGGCTGTAAAGATTAAAGAAGAAAACACGCGCAAATATCACGCGTAAAAATAAAATCAAAATAAAATATTGGAGCATATTATTCTGATTTGCACACTTACCACATACATATTGTTATAGATGTATCTGGCGCGTTAGAGTGTAGAGCGTGATGAGGAAATCCCATTTTCACAAGCGCTGCATCTAATCGCGTTGCAGCAGGCGGAGGATCTATATGTGCATTCAATTGCTCCTTGTAATGTTTATCATCGAGCGCAACACTATGTTCGCCACCGGTAATGTTTGCCATTCGTTTACAGATATATAATTCAGCGGCCAATCCTATTACGCTACATCTAATGCTGTCCAATTTCATATTCTAAAATAAATACAACAACATTAAAAAAAGATAGATTTTCGAAGCAAACGAAAAGCACAGAAATTAAAATATACTCTTATTGTTTCGTTGATGTCTCCAGGATCGCATGTAGTCAAAGCCCCTATTATTACCAATATTTCTTTACTAGCGTGCGACGGTAATAATTTCAATAACTTTGTTGCCATTTCTAAAGAATTTTGCAAAGAAGGTTCACCGCCTACTACAGTTTGTTGCAAAATTTGCAATTCCTATAAAATAGACGACAAAATTGCGATATAAGACAAAACGAAATATTCCAGATGATAAATAAAAAGAATAATATATAATAAAATAATTACCTTAATGTGCTTCTTTGAGTTACCAGCCAAATCGCTAACTTTCTCAGCCCTTTTATTTCTAGTTATAATTACACCTAATTGACTTATAGGATTTTGATAGAAAAATTCTTCGATAAAATCTTCTAGGAGCTTAAGATAAATACATTAAAAAAAAAAATATATATAT